TATCATATTTTTCTTGCATTGCACAATGATAATGATAAAATTGGATAAAATTTAATGATAAAAAATTGGAATCTAGGGAGGGATTTAACTATCCCTCCCTAGATTCCAATTTTTCGATTACTAGAGCTTTTTTGCAAATAGAGAGCCGGACTTCTATAAGAGAGGCATTATGAAGTTACTTTTAAAGAGGCAAACAATCATATAACAAAACGATGCTTATTTGGCCCAGATCGGACATTTCGAAGCGTGTTAAATAAAGTCCTATAGTTCATATTAAAATAATGGATTTCATTTTTCCCCAAACTTTCAATACAAAAATATTCTATTCTACAAGTTCTATCTTGAAAATATACCAGTGAAAGGAGCAGCATAGTAAGACGGGACCGACCATATGATACTCTACATACTATCAAGGTACACTAATTTTCTGCAGATCTATATTCCGAGGCTGAGCAATATTTCTTAACCGATTAACAGTTCCACTTTCATATACTGGCATGTTTTCCGAATCTTGTTTTCCCGGGGTAAACATTTATGCAAAATTTGTCTTTTACACAGAAAGGTTCTGAATATTGACCGATCCACTATCACAATAACTTTTCCAATTAGTTGGCCAAAATGCGTTGTAATGTTTGGATTATAATCAAGACAAAAATCAAGCTTTGGTTAATTTCATGCCAAAATATCATCCGATGAGCACCAAAAACTATGGCTGTTGTCCTCGACCATAATCGGAACAGCATGTAAAATTTCAAAGCGATCAGCGCGATATCTAGTGGGCGTAAATGTGGTAATGGTGATACTAAAAATTATCTCCGGTCTACATTCTACAGGAGTAACTATATACGCTCTAGAATGAAAATTTTGCAAGTTTCACACAAAATTCTCAGTCCATTTGACCCGTCAAATATTGACCGATTATCATGAAAATAAACATATTTGTTCTTTGGATAGATCCCATTATGCTCGTAAAATTTTGTGATTTTGGGGTCGTAATTGCTCCTGAGCATCAAGTGATTAGTACAATTTGGCTAGACTGATTTGACTGATAAGTACAATTTTGCTTAGAGGAATGTATATCCAATGATTGGAACCTCAGCATCCTATGTCGGGTTATCTTTCTAACATCCTGTTGGAAAAGGTCATGCGAAATGCAAATGTGAATAGAAGTGATACACTGTATACCAAACATAATATGTTACTCGCCTACGCTGACGACATCGACATAATGGGTCGAACATTGCGAGCGGTAATAGCCACCTTTGAACGAATTGAGGAGGAGTCTGCCAAAATGGGACTAACAGTAAATGGTGAGAAGATCAAGTTGATGGTTTCAACGCGGAAGATGTCCAGTAGACTCGGATCAACCTCGGTACCGCTATAAACAAAACTAATAACATCCGCTTTTAAATCCGGAGAAGAATAGTGTTAGCCAAAACTATGGTCTGGGTAAGCCATTTAAGAACAAAACCACCTCTCACCAGATCAAACTCACACTCTACGAGACGCTGATATTACCCGTGCTGTTGTATGGATCTGAGGCATGGGTACTTGCGCAAGCAGATGAGGCAGTTCTTGGACAGTTTGAGAGAAAAATTTTACGAAAGATCTACTGGCCGATCTACATCGACTCTGAATGTCGCCGTTGAATGAACCATGAGTTGTACCATATATTCTCGGACGTAGACATAGTCAGACGTATCGTGCTTTAGCGCCCGCGTAGGATAGGTCATGTTGTGAGAAGGGATGAGGATGTCCCAGGCCAGAAGGCGTGTAAAAGCGAGCCAACTGATGATTCATGCAGAATGGGAAGGCCACGAATTCGATCGAAAGATCAAGTGGAAGACAATATTTCGAAACATGGCCTTTCAAATTGGAAGAGTCCGTTTATGGAACAAATGTTCTGTCACAAGTCACCTAAGTATGTAAGTATGTCGGGTCATAATTGTGGATTCTAGAGCAACCAAAAAATAAAAAAAAAAAAAAATAACACCAGTAAGGAAAGCAGTAAAGTCGGACTGGGCCGACTATATGATACCCTTCACCACTTTGGGTACATTGTACACGTGTATCCCCTCCAAGGAACATACGCAAGTCTTTCTGCACCATATGATTTATTTAAATTCATTCGGCCAGATTTAAAGACGACTTCGTACCATGGGACAAATTTATGATAAACGACTTATAGCAAAATTAATAGACGCTATTCGCTATTTCATTCAGACATACATTCGAAATACATATGGAAGCTATGACAGCACCTACATCAATTTCAACAAAACGCAATAACGTTATTCAAGTCTCAACTTGATACGTTGTGCAAAAAATCGTGTTAATCGGACAAACATTAGAAGGTTGGTGCACCATTTATGTAAAATCGGACGAATATATATGTGTATGTGGGAGCTGTATCGAAACCAAAACCGATATTTCCGAAACTTAGCGCACATCATTCTAGACTTAATTGAGTACGCTGTGCCAAATTTCATGCAAATCGAAGGATATATAGGAACTTTGGTGCACCATTAAATAGAATCGGACGAAACTATATATGGGAGCTATATCTAAATCTGAACCAATTATCTCGAAACTTGGCACACATCATTCTGGACCTAATTCAGTACTCTATGCCAAATTTCGTGCAAATAGAATGATATATAGGGACTTTGGTGCACCATTTACCTTAAATCGGACGAAACTATATATGGGAGCTATATCTAAATCTGAACCGATTTTCACGAAACTTAGCACACATCATTCTGGACCTAATTCAGTACTCTATGCCAAATTTCGTGCATATCGAATGATATATAGGGACTTTGGTGCACCATTTACCTTAAATCGGACGAAACCATATATGGGAGCTATATCTAAATCTTAACCAATTATCTCGAAACTTGGCACACATCATTCTGGACCTAATTCAGTACTCTATGCCAAATTTCGTGCAAATCGAATGATATATAGGGACTTTGGTGCACCATTTACCTTAAATCGGATGAACCTATATATAGGACCTATATCTAAATCTGAACCGATTTTCTTGAAACTGGGCACACATCATTCTGCACCTAATTCAGTAATATATGCCAAATTTCATGCTAATCGAACGATATAGAGGGACTTTGGCATACCATTTACCTTAAATCGGACGAAAATATATATGGGAGATATATCTAAATCTGAACCGATTTTCACGAAACTTTGCACACATCATTCTGGACCTAATTCAGTACTCTATGCCAAATTTCGTGCATATCGAATGATATACAGGGACTTTGGTGCACCATTTACCTTAAATCGGACGAAATTATATATGGGAGCTATATCTAAATCTTAACCAATTATCTCGAAACTCGGCACACATCATTCTGGGCCTAATTCAGTATTCTATGCCAAATTACGTGCAAATCGAATGATATATAGGGACTTTGGTGCACCATTTACCTTAAATCGGATGAACCTATATATAGGACCTATATCTGAATCTGAACCGATTTTCTTGAAACTGGGCACACATCATTCTGCACCTAATTCAGTACTCTATGCCAAATTTCATGCTAATCGAAATATATAGAGGGACTTTGGTGCCGCATTTACCTTAAATCGGACGAAAATATATATGGGAGCTATATCTAAATCTGAACCGATTTTTCCCAATTTCAATAGGGTTCGTCCTTGGGCCGAATAAGTGACCTATGCCTAATTTCATCCAATTCGTATCATAAATGCGACCTGTACTTTGTTTACAATTTAACATGGACAGACAGACGGACGGACATGCATAAATCGACTTAGAAAGTGATTCTATGCATATTCTCAAAAGGAACCATGTGTCTATCTCGTTTCCTTTTGCCTGTTACAAACATATGCACAAAGACATAATACCCTGTACCACAGTGTGGTGAAGGGTATAAAAAATAGAGTTGTTGGTCCATTTCATCCCCTAAATATTAATCGATCATTACCTTCATAGACCAGAACTCGTCAAACATGCCAAATTTCGTGGCGATTAGTCCATAACTGTGACCTGTGACGTGCTTACATATTATAATGGTGTGATCGACGAACACACATGTCAAGATGAACTCAGCTAGTCGAGATATGATCAGTATACTTAATTGATACTCTAGGATCAATATTTCGTGGCATTGCAAACTCTTGGAGCTACACAAAGCTATAACACCCTTACAACATAGTTGCGTAGGGAAAAAAGTAAAAAATTTAAAATATTATTTTTGACATTTTTTGAGTCTCAGTATGCAGATATGTACTTTAACACAGTTTAATATTCATGTTATCATTGGAGAAGAGGAATACGACAGGAATATATATATATAAGTCGTCAAAAGCTTCATTCATTCAGAGCCACATGCAATTCTTCGAAATCTTCAGTGCGAAACAACTAACTACTGAACCAATGTTCTGACCATGAGTAAGTATTGATCGAACAAATTTTAAGCAACCTGTTATTCAGGCATCAGAATAAACGCAAGAAGAGCTAGAATGGAATGAGAGTTCCATCGTGCATTCCCATTGAAAACGAGACACATTTGCCAGAGTGCAACAAACTTTAAAAAGGCCCTCGATAAAGGCCCATTGTCGGATTAGTTTCGCATCTGCCCACTATTGACATTTAATCAGTCAATTAATCAACGAATGACGTAGCTATGTAAAACATGGTTCAATTACTACAAAAATGCAATGTGTTACTTGTTGTTGTTGTATATTTTTTATATTTGCTACTGTTGTTGTTGTCAATGGTATTTATTTTTTACAAAACAAGTGCGGCTGTCAACAGTTGTTGATGTCGGTCTACTTCATTCACAAAAAAAAACAAGACAAGAAATAACATCAGGGGTTGGGGAAATGAAAAGGGGGGAATTGTTGCCTTTTCTAGTCAGGAATTTGAAATTGATAAGGAGGGGGAGGGGGGGGGGTGGTTTTGAAGTCTCACAAAAGAACAATGAATACAAAAAAAGAAAAATATGAAGACTTACCCATCATCGATAACAGAACTAAGCCCAGAGCTGTCATGTTAAGTAATTTGTTGTATTTTTTTTTTTGCAGGAGGGGTTGTTGTTGTTATTGTTTTGATTTTTTTGTTAATGTGCAAATTTGTCTATTTTTGGATAAACATAAAATATTTTTCTAAACAATATTTCAATAAAAATATTTTTTTTTCTAATTTTTTCTGCTGGTTGGCCAGAAGGTGTTTGAGTGTTGGCTTGAAGTCGTTAACTTGTTGAACGAGAGTCAAGGTTAGGAACTTTTTTTCTGGTGGTGTTTAATTTTAATTTGCATAAACAAATTGTGATATTAGGAACTTTTGTTGTTGTTGTTTTTGTGGCAAGATTAGTTTTGGCATTTATTTGGCAAGTTTTTCCGTTACATTCTTTTGTGGCTATTCAAATATTTCATTATTGTTATTTGATTTATTTTTTCAATTCACACACTCATAATTATTATTTAAATAAATAAGTTTAAAACAATTGCAAAAAAAAAACAACACAATGTATTTAATATTGATTGATAAATGCAAAAAACAGTATCGGATTAAAAATAAATAAAATAAAACAAATCGGATTTAAATTCAAGTCTAGTTAGCAGCGTTATTGGCTGACTGACTGGCTATAAGGCACAAACTGGATAGAAAACCGCACCGCACAAAAGTGTTTATTAAATCGCTATGAATGCTTCTTCTTCTTCTACTACGTTTTTGCGCTGAACACAGTGTGACGCCGCATCAACTGACTGGCGACTGACGAAGAAACTGTTTCTGCTTGCGAATTCGGAAGTTTAATGTTTGGTACGCGTCGGAAATTCAAATATTTATAAATGTTTTCGAAATGTGTGCGAGGCTCCGTGTGTGTGTGTGAGTGCGATGGTTTTGGTGGGCCGGGAGGGAGGTGAGTTTGAGAAAAGAAATGGCAGGGAATTGGCGCGAAAAAAAAAACTAAAAACAAGACAGCCAGAAAACAATAACAATTATTATCGCTCGCGCTAAATACAAGCAATTGATGATTTGTTTTTACTGAAAATAAATAACACTAGTCTACAGTGAAGCAGTATTAATTTTCAGGAAACTTCACTCACATCATTCGAGACCTAATTCATTACGTTGTGACAAATTTCGTGCAAATCGAAAGATATATAGGGACGTGTACCTTAAATCGGACGAAAATATATATAGGAGCTATATCTAAATCGGAACCGATTTTCAAGAAACTTAACACACATCATTCTAGATTCAATTCAGTACGCTATGCCAAATTTCGTGCAAATCGAAAGACTTCGGACAAAAATATATATGGAAGCTATATCGAAATCTGAACCGATTTTCTCGAAACTCAGCACACATTATTCTAGACTTAATTCTGTACGTTATGCCAAATTTCGTGCAAATCGAAAGATATATAGGGACTTTGTTGGTACACTATTTACCTTAAATCAGACAAAAATATATATGGGAACTATATCGAAATCTGAACCGATTTTCTCGAAACTCAGCACACATTATTCTAGACTTAATTCCGTACGTTATGCCAAATATCGTGCAAATCGAAAGATATATAGGGACTTTGGTACACCATTTACCATAAATCGGATGAAAATATATATGGGAGCTATATCGAAATCTGAACCGATTTTCTCGAAACTCAGCACACATTATTCTAGACTTAATTCAGTATGTTATGCCAAATTTCGTGCAAATCGAAATATATATGGGCAATATTGCCAATTTTTTAACATAGCTGAAGCGGAGGTTCACACCTTTATAACTCGGGAACTACTTAAGTATATGAAAAAAGTGAATAGTTTTGGGTTAATTGATCTGTCGTTGCAAACTGTTCATGATATTGACCTTCAAACTTTATTTTGGTGGAAGCTGTGTCTACTTTAATGTAAAAAAATGTGTAAAAACAGGTTGAGGCGAACCAGTTTTTTTATGTTCTCTATCGATTTGTGACTAAGCCACTCATTGCACGGCCTTCGTGTCAAAATAAAACTAGAAGCCAACAAAATGGGGACTACGCCCCTTATGTATCATTTTTCAAAATTTTAACTGCATCTACCTTTAAATGATGCTGACATTTTGAAGCTCGATTTTGAGTGTTTTTTGAATTTTAGTTCTAGCATTAATACGCGAACAGGAATTTCTAAAAATCGATTATACGATTATTGTAGTCGCGAATCTGCGTAATTTGATATGTATTTTGTGTATGTAGCATGCACAGCTTCAGAGTAATACTCATCCGAAGGTGCGAATTTTGTGCGATCAAATTTCTAAAAAACCTATTTTTCGGGCCAAATTTTTAGATCTGTCAACTGAATGATATGGGTACCCGCGATCAATAAGGTTTTTTCCGTTTCGGATGATATAAAATCTTCTTCGTGAAAATCCATCTACTAGAACGGCGGGAACTGGCCTTCCAAAAACACGAAATTTGGCAAAAAATGTTTTTGAAAATATCGCGGATTTATTTGCGTTTTCTGTGTATCATTTCCGCTTCAATAAATGACCTCATACGGATTTTGATCTTTTTCGAAAAGAGAACTTTAAAAACTTCAGCCGAAAGAGAGATGTACGCAATTTATCTCAAAAATAGATTGTGATGGCACATCCATGGTTCTTAATGGACCACATTGAAATGGTATAGATCGATGTATTTTTTTAGGGTGCACACCGAAATCGGATGCGCGTTAATGACATATGGAGTTTTCGGAAATTATTCGCGTTTTACGATTTTTTGGGTACTTCAATGTAACGTGTGGCACATCTTAGCCGTCAAATGAAATTTCGCAAAATATATATGGGATGGAAAATAAACTTCAGTACTTCCTGGAAACCGCATGCGCATCAAATGATTTCGAGAATTACGCGATTTACACGCAATTTAAAATGTATATTTCATAATATTATTTTATTTTAAGATATATTCCTATTTTTAGAACCTTAAGATTTATCGGAAGGGTCTTGATATAATCCGCAAGGCGTATACTTATACACAAAAAAAGATTATAATTATATATGTCAATTTTTCGGCGAAATCCGGGTAAAATAGCAGAATAACCCCAACATTTTTTTTTTTCTGAAATTTCTTGTATACAATTAAAAAAATAAATATGATGACATTATTTTTTCGAACCAAAAACAAATATTTTTCCTCAATATCTTGTTTTGTTGTCGCTGTGATTTAGAAACCGCTACTGATTCATCATGGTGTTTAGATTATGTAGATATTTTTAAATTAATTTTTAGGTGTGTGTATGTCATTAATATAATGAAAATATTGATGTCATCTGCTATATTTTTTTATTTTTCTCATATTTCGCGAATATGTGCAACTTTATCGCGATTATTATAATATTTTCATATTCTTATTTTACGGAGGAAGACATATATGAACGTTTTTGGTCAATATAATAAACGGCGTAATTTTAAGATTTTTTTCTTATGCCCAAAATTAAAACCTCGATAACTTTTGCGCGCATCAACCAAAAATTTGATCGCGAACGGTTTCGGAGTCAGAACATTTTTCTCTATATGTGTACCAAAAATCATTGATGTACCACAAAAACAAAAACGCTGATTTTTTGAAAATGGAATATTAAAAAATTGGCAATATTGCCCATATAGGGTCTTTGGTGCACCATTTGCTATAAATCGGACAAAAATATATATGGGAGCTATATCGAAATCTGAACCGATTTTCTCCAAACTCAGCACACATTATTCTAGACTTAATTCAGTACGTTATGCCAAATTTCGTGCAAATCGAAAGATATATAGGGTCTTTGGTGCACCATTAACTATAAATCGGACAAAATATATATGGGAGCTATATCGAAATCTGAACCGATTTTCTCCAAACTCAGCACACATTATTCTAGACTTAATTCAGTACGTTATGCCAAATTTCGTGCAAATCGAAAGATATATAGGGTCTTTAGTGCACCAATTACCTTAAATCGGACAAAAATATATATGGAAGCTATATCGAAATCTGAACCGATTTTCTCGAAACTCAGCACACATTATTCTAGACTTAATTCTGTACGTTATGCCAAATTTCGTGCAAATCGAAAGATATATAGGGACTTTGGTACACCATTTACCTTAAATCGGACGAAAATATATATGGGAGCCATAGCTAAATCTGAACCGATTTTCACGAAACTTAACACACATCATTCTAGATTTAATTCAGTACGCTATGCCAAATTTCGTGCAAATCGAAAGATATATAGGGTCTTTGGTGCACCAATTACCTTAAATCAGACAAAAATATATATGGGAGCCATAGCTAAATCTGAACCGCTTTTCACGAAACTCAGCACACATCATTCTAGATTTAATTCAGTACGCTATGCCAAATTTCGTGCAAATCGAAAGATATATATGGACTTTGGTACACCATTTACCTTAAATCGGACGAAAATATATATGGGAGCCATAGCTAAATCTGAACCGATTTTCACGAAACTTAACACACATCATTCTAGATTTAATTCCGTACGCTATGCCAAATTTCGTGCAAATCGAAAGATATATAGGGACTTTGTTGGTACACTATTTACCTTAAATCAGACAAAAATATATATGGGAACTATATCGTTATGCCAAATATCGTGCAAATCGAAAGATATATAGGGACTTTGGTACACCATTTACCATAAATCGGATGAAAATATATATGGGAGCTATATCGAAATCTGAACCGATTTTCTCGAAACTCAGCACACATTATTCTAGACTTAATTCAGTATGTTATGCCAAATTTCGTGCAAATCGAAATATATATAGGGTCTTTGGTGCACCATTTGCTATAAATCGGACAAAAATATATATGGGAGCTATATCGAAATCTGAACCGATTTTCTCCAAACTCAGCACACATTATTCTAGACTTAATTCAGTACGTTATGCCAAATTTCGTGCAAATCGAAAGATATATAGGGTCTTTGGTGCACCATTAACTATAAATCGGACAAAATATATATGGGAGCTATATCGAAATCTGAACCGATTTTCTCCAAACTCAGCACACATTATT